AATGTAAATGATCAAATCTGTGTATTTATGAAAAGAGTTAATATATGGAAATGATAAATTAATAAAATCTATAACAATTGGCAATATATCTTTTTTTAAATTTTCATTTGATTTTATATTTTCATATAATTGTTCAAATAATTTTTCACTAATACTAAGATATATATCATTTATATTAGAATAAATATTTGTTATTGGATTTATTAAAATAGGTATTGATGAAAAGTATACTTTTAAAAAGGATAAAGAAAAAATGTCATTTAATTTCACATTATTTTTATTAATTATTTCATTTTTATCATTTTTAATAAAACATTTGTCATCAATTATTTGATTAATTTGATTCAACGAGTACTCTATTAAATTTGCGTAACGATAAGGATACATATTTTTAAAAGTATGTAATAATAATTGAATATTTTTTTCATTTAATTTGTTATTTTTTAACATATTTTCCAAGTATATTAAAATATATTTTCTAAATAAATCATTTTTAAATTGATTTAGTATATTCAATTTGCTAATAAGATAAAACAATTTAATTGTTTCATCTATTTTTATCATATCATTATCATTTTCTTTATGTGAAGATATAAATTTGATTACAACTTTTTTAACAATTGAATTAAAAGAATTAAATTCATTATCAATATTTTTTATTATACTAAAGCCATTTATCATTTTAAGTATATGCTTATTTTTTAAATAATTTATATTTATATAAATATTTTTTAAAATTATTTTAATGATATCATGATTGATGTAATTTAATTTCTTATAGTAGTATAATATATTTGAACAATCAGTGGAACTTATTTTTGTATATTCATAATTTAAATTGTTATCTTCATTGATATTATTCATGATATTTTTAATTTCATTTAAATTATAATCCTTTTTATGATCCATATTTATAATAGGATAACTATCATTTTTTAATGTATTTAAATATAAATAATTATTTTCTATTATTTTTTCTATATTTTTATATATTTCATCTATGCGATTAATATTATTTAAACTTTTATCATTTAAAAAATTATTTATATTATTCATTTTTCTCATAATTTCATTACTGTTACAGGTTGATTTTTTTTTCAAAAGAACACTTTGTGATATTATTAAAAAACTCAAATAGTTTAAAGTATTTTCAAAAATTACATAATTATTTTTAGTGATAAAATAAGAACAAAAACTTAAAGCTTTTAAAAATAATACTATATCTTTAATGCAAAAATATAATGAAAAAATTAATGAATTTTGTAATAAATTCATAAACACAAAAATATTGTTATATTTAACTTTCCCCAATAGCAACATTTTATATAATACATAATTACTATATTCATAATTATTACAAAATTGAAAATAGTTTTCATAATTACTTAAGATGAAATTTGTTTTACTTAAATAGTCTGAATTAATAAAATTTTTGTCTATTAATATTTCTACTGACTTAACTAATAGAAGTGATTCTTTTATAGGTATAGATATATAATGAACATTATGATTTTTTCCATTTACATCCTTTTCAATTTCATTTTCTTTTTGTTTTTCATTTTCTTTATACATTTTATTCATTATACATAAAAATATTTTTTCATTTAAAGAATTTATAATATTATTACTTTTGTTAATTCGTGAAAAATCATAAAGGAGGTATATTAATGTTGAAATGGAAGATATTTCATCTATATTTCTTTTATCTAAAGAACTTTCTAATTTATTCATACAAAAATTAATGTGATAGAATTTTTTAAAATAATATAATATTTTTATTAATTCAGCTAAATCATCAGTAGAAAAATTATCATAATTTTTGTTTTTTAATTCATCAAATATAAATGAAAAATGAGAAACAGAAAATAAATTATTATATTTAATATTTCTACTTTTTATAATATTCAATATATTTAAATAATCAATATTTTTAAAATTATCTAAATTTCTTTTGTTTTTTAATATATTTAAAACATCATAATAGCAATTATCATCAATTAAATTAAAGAATTCTAAATCTTCTAATATATTACATAGTTGCTGAATACTTGCATAAGATATTTTTAAATAGAAATTATTTTTCAAATTCTCATTTATTTCTTCAATCAATTTTGCATTATTATATTTTGTTGTTTCATTTGTTTCTTTTTCTTCTTCTTGCTTGTTAATATTTAATACTTTTTTTTTATTTAATTCATTATTTATATTATAATTGTTACATATAATCCCTTTTTTTTTTATTAATTTTTTATTACACCTTAAAATGCAAGATATACCATGAATTTGAAGAGAAGAAATGAAATTATATATTTTTTTCAAAAATAAGTTTAATAATATATCATTTCTTTTTTCTAAATGTGAAAATCGATCTAAAATATTTACGTAAAAATGAAATAAAATACATATATCAACACTATTACTTTGCGCTATTATTTTCTTTATATTTTTAAAAAATAAAAGAATAAAATCATTGTGATAATAATTTAATTTAAGCATACTATTTAAAATTAAACTTACACTTCTAATAGGAATATTATCAAAAATTTTTAAACTTTTATTGATTAATTTAACATAAACAGATTTTATATTGTTATTAATTTTATTTTTACTAATTACATTTATTAATTGAGATATTTCTATAGAATTTTCTGCAATGGATAAGGAATAAATTAAATTATTTTCATATAGATTATATTTTTTTTCTCTCAAATTATCATTTAGTTGTTCACATAAATTTGTTATTTTTTTATTTTCTTCATTTTTCTTATATCCATTTCCTAACAGTTCTTTTTTTTTACAACTTAAACCATTTTTCTTATTTATTTTATTTACATTATCAATGTTTATTATCTTCTTTTTAGTTGAATTCAGAAATATGTAAGAAAAATGATTGCATAACTTATTACGTATAATTATATTTATACTATCTACAAATATATTATATTTTTTTTTAAACATTATAAAAATAAAACAAAGTTAAATTATTTAATTTTACATTATCATCTACTATTTATTTATAAATATATTCATTGTAAGAAAAGAAGATACTAAAATTATTATAAAATATTTTTTACGAAAACAAAAAAATATTTTTTAATAGAGTTATATAAAAATTCTAAAAAAAATATAAATATAAAATTATTTCCTTTTTAATATGATAAAAAAAAAAAAAAAAAAAAAAAAAATTAAGTGTTAAATTATAAAAATATAAAAAAAAAAAAAAAACGTTACAATTTATTTTTAATATACTCTGTTTTACTTATTTTGTTTTTATTTAGTAAAATAATGTTGTAATCCTTTAATTATTTAAAAACATAATTTAAATAAATTAATAAAAAAAAAAAAAAAAAAAAAGAGGAAATATATTGTATTATAATTATTATAAAATTATATAATATAAAAATTTTTAAAATATAAATAAATAGTAACAAATTTTAAAATAAAATAAAAAGAAAAAAGGAAAAAAAGTGAATTTTATGTAGAATCAATTTATTTACTCTTTTTCTTATTTATTTTAATTATATTTTTTATTTCTAATAATATTATTGACACAAGCTTTGTGTTGTAAAAAAATTATTTATCACAAAAAAAAAAAAAACTTAATATATACATTGAAAAATATAGTTTATGTTGAAATTATATAAAACAAACTTGCAAAAAATAGAAATAAAAATGTGCCTATATTAAGTAGACAAAAAAAAATTCTATATTATCTTTAAATTATAAAAAGAAGATAAAACATAATTATAATTTATCTTCATGAAAGATTATTATAGAGTATCTCACTAATTCTCTTTATCATCTGAAGGTATAATTCCTGCTTTCTTCCATTCTTGATATCTTTAAAAAAAAAAAAAAAAAAAAAAAATTTTACATTCAAAATAACAATAGGCAAAAAGAAAATATTATGATATACTTTTTTCTTTTTTATGTAAAATTTCTTTTTATAATTTTATTAAATTTTATCATAACTTACGTTGTAACTCCTAATTCTCTTAATAATTTCTTCTCTAATGATTCTTTTTCTTCTTCTTCCCTTTTCATTTCTCTTTTAACATTCTTAATATATCCTAATGGTGTTTGTAATCCATCTCCTGTAACCATTAATATTAGCATACTTATTGATGTAAATGCTAATATTTTTATTTGAGCACTCTAATATAAAATAAAATAAATTTTAATATAAATTTTTTTTTTTTTTTAACACTACTTATTATGAGTTTATGTTTATATATATTATTTTCCTTTTTTTAATATATTTTAAATTACTGAAAAATTTCCATTTTTAACAAATAGAAGGTTCTTTAATTTATCCATATTTTCAAGTGATACAAAATTGATTTTTACTTTTTAAAAATATTTAAATAATATACTTCATTAGATACAAATTTTATCAAGGATTAAAAAAAATATATTTTTTTTAGATTTAAGAAATACACAAAAAAAAAAAAAAAATTTACATATATATTCCAAAATGCCTATAAATATTTAAACAACTAATTTTTTTGAGAATTATTCAATTTATTATTTTATTTTATTTTTTTTTTTTTTGTTGGTTTTTTACAATACTTTCTTTTCATTTAAACTTTGAACATGTGATAAAATTACTTTTCAATTTTTATATATATATATATATGATATTTTTAAAAGTCATTACATGTGTTATTAGGAGAAAAGTATAAATGATACTACATTTAATATGAATATTTGAAAAACTAAAAAGATAATAAATAAAAGGAATATTTATAATTATGAAAAAAAAAAAAAAAAAATTATCTGAAATTTTTTTTTTTATATTCAGAAAAGTTTCTTATACAAATTCTTAAGGCATATGTCAAATTATATTTTGATCGTAAAAAAAAAATTTTTTTATCTTATTTTTTTGTTTTAAGAAAAAATTAATTGCAATAAAATTATATGTATACTTTTTTTTGTTTAAACATATATACTTATTTGTGTTAACATTTTACATTATTATTTTATATGTATCTTTTTATAAAATTTTTTAAAAAAAAGAAATAAAATGAAGAAGTAAAAAATGTTTTCTTTTTTTTCTACAAGCAAAATTAATAATTTTTGTATTTTTAATAATATAAATAATTTATTTTACAAAAATATTCAACTGAGAAATCATAAAATAATAAAACCAAGAAATATTATTAAAATATGGAAAATTCAGAAGGGAGATGAAGTAAAAATAATATCAGGAAAAGAAAAAGGAAAAATAGGTGAAGTTTTAAGTTGTGATAAATTTAGGAATATGATAAAAGTGAAAGGATGCAATTTAAGAAAGATTTTTATTGATAATAAATTTGTTTATATTGAAAAAAAGATACATTATTCCAATGTTCAATTAATAGATAACTTCTTAAAAACAAATACAAAAGTAGCAATTAGATATACAGATGACAACCAAATTATTAGGATTTCTAAAAAATCAGGAATTATAATACCATGGCCAAAAGAAAAAAATAAAGAAAATGAAAATGAAGAAGTAGAAGAAAATCCCTTAGATACTTCACCACAGGAAGCTTTAAAAAAAACATATGATTATAAAACAGATGTAAAATTTATGAATATATTAAGACAAACGGTGAACAAATATAATAGAGAATTGTCTTAACATATATATAAATATATATCTTTTCTTTTTTTTTTTTTTTTTTTTTTTTTTTTTTTTATAAATATCCACAAAAAACATTTTCTGAATTCATATTGCTGCTAATAGTTTTACGTATTATTTCAATAAAAAGAAAAAATTTTCAGTACTTATCATTTTTTAAAAATTTATATATATTTAAAAAAAAAATTTATTATAATTTGTTAACTTTTTTTATAAACTCTTTTTTCTTTTTTCTTTTTTCTTTTTTTTTTCGTTTTTATATAATGATGTTTTAATTATACTGTTTATTTAATTAATTTACTATTTAAGACTCTATATTAAAAAGATTTATTATAAAAACATAAAAAATTTAAATTTTTTAGAGGTAAAAAATAGTACATTTAAATTAATATAAAAATAAAAGCAAAAGTGGTAATTAAAAAATAAAAATAAAATAAGAAAAATGAAATGATAAAAATTATTTTTGTAAATTAATGATTTGCCTTTCTCATCCTTAAATTATATTCCTAATTTTTAACATCCGTAAATATATCATTTTATAATAAATTTATATTTAATAAAAATTATTTTTTATTTTCCTAATTTTATAAAAATTTTTATTAAAGTCTTAAAAAAAAAAAAAATAAAATTTATTTATTATTTAATAGTTTTTTAAAAATACATAAAATTAAAAAGAATATGAATTAATGATGGTTCTACATTTTAATCAATTTTTTTTTTTTTTAATAAAGAATTTATATATATTGTCTCAAATTTAAGTTCATATTCATATGAATCGTAGTTTTTAATTTTCCTTAAAATTTAAATATGAAATTTAAAAAAAAATTTTCTCTTACTTTTTGCGTTTTTATATTATATTTAGTAAATTAAAGTTTTAAATATATATTTATTTACAAATATTCTAATAGCATAATTTTATGTATAAACATAGTATTATCTTGTCATATATGCGAATATATATCTGTTCATATATTCTACATTAGAAAAATAGTAATTCATTATCTTTTAAATTAATAAAATGAAGATAGAACCATCTTTTGTCTTTATATATTTAATTATTTTTTTATTTTATTGAAATATTTACTCTTTTAAAATATATATATGCTTAATTTTTTTTATTATTATTGAATGAATATTATTTTTCTTTACATGATCATTGTTTTAATTTTTTATTAGCATTATATTTTTGAGTTATATTAATTTTTATAAAATAATTATAATTTATTATAAATATTTTATTATATAACAGATATATATTTAAAATAAATCTTGCACATAATTTATAAATAAATATGTACATAAGAAAAAACAAAAAAAAAAAAAAAATTGCATTTATCATCAAAAAAAAAAAAATATATATATATATATATATGTAATACATGATATAAATATTTTAAAAAAATCCTATCTTATATTTTTCTCGTAAGCTATTTTTTTTTTTTTTTTTTTTTTTTTTTTTTAATTTTCCTAAAATATTTAATATCATAATTGTTAAGATTATAAAATATATGAATTTTAAAATTATATTGTTAAATATTTTTTTTTCATAATTTTAAAGAAAAAATGATATATATATTTTTTTTTATTACAATTTAATTACATTAATTGGTTTTATAAATATATATATATATATCTATTTATTAATATGTAAAACTATACATAATATATATTACATATAATTTTAAAATCTTAATTGTTAACATATTTAAATTTGCATAATTTTCTTCGTTTCATTTTAATTTAAATTTTAAATTTAATTCCATTGTTTAACTTTTTTTTTTTTTTTTTTTTTTTTTTTTTTTACTTTTTTTTTTTTTAAATAAAATAAATTTAAAGAAAAAAAGAGAAAAAAACTGTCATATATTAAAAAATTTGTAAAAATAAATTTCAATCAAGATATAAATAGTAATTTTAATAAAGGAATGTATATAAATATATTTATACATTATATATATATAAATGTTGTAAAATTAAATATATTTAAGAAATAATTTTTTGTACTTTTAATATTTTATATATGAAAAAATTTTATTAAGTTATTTTTATTTTCATTAGAATATATATATTTTTTTTTTTAACTTGTATTATAAAAATTACATATTTATTTAGGTTTAATCTGAAAAGTTTTTATTCTTTTTTTTTTCTTTTAATTTTTAGCTCATTCTCATTATTATTTTGCTATAAAATAAGAAAAAAAAAAAGAATATCCATATACATATATACATTTGTATATATATATATATATATATATATATATATATATATATATATAAATTATTAATTTCTGTAAAATTGAAGTGTACAATATCGTTCGTCTTTAAAAATTTACTTATTTAAAAAATTATTTTTTTTTTTAAAAAAAGAAAAGGGAATGTTCTAAAGGATTACACAAGAAAAATATTTTAATTATTATATATGTACTGAATGTTATTTATATAAATTTCACGAGTTCAGGAAAGAAACATTAGGAAATAATATATTCTTTTATAAATAATATTTTAAACAAATTTAGAATATTTCCATTATATTACTACTAACTTAGTTATTCGTCTATTTTTATTTTATTTTATTTTTTCTTTGCCTTTCTTCTTTTAATTTTTTTTTTTTTTATTTTTATATTATTTATTCTTTTTCTTTTACTCTCTATCTTTCTCTTTTTATTTATCTCTTTCATTTTATTTTTTTTTTTTTTTTTTATGGTACAATTTTTCTTTTAAAAAATAAATGTATTTATAAAAATATATATACTAAATAAGTAAGGTTAAAATGATTAGGCAAAAACGATCATATGCACGTATCGATAATGAAGATAATAGTAGTAGTAATAGCGATGATGATAATTTAATTAAAAGACAACGTAAAAGTAATAGCAGTAATAGATCTTATGTAAGTATAGATGATAATAGAAAAAAAAGTTCTTATTCTACAGCTGAAATGCGAATACCATATTGTCTTTTATTACCCAATAGAGCCATTGGATTTGTTATTGGAAAATCAGGTAATAACGTTCGTGAAATAGAAAAGGCATGTGGTGCAATAATAAAATGCCAAAAAGAATTTGATGTTTCTGTTTATCCCCCTCCGTCTGAAAAAATTTTAACGATATTTGGTAAAAAGGAAAATAAAAAAAAAGCATTAGAATTAGTTTTAGAAAAATCAAAAAATGTTATGGATTTTCAAGAAGAAGACGGAAAGGAATCAATAGTTATAATAGTACCAACTAGATCTATTCCAATAATTATAGGGCAAAAAGGTTCTAAAATATCATCTTTATGTGAACGATCTTCTTGTGAAATTAATGTTCATAAAGATGACGTTCCAGGCATAAAAGATAAAGCAATTTTTATAAAATCAAAAAAAATTAATAAAATTATTGATTGTATAGGTATTATATATGATTTATTAGAAGATATTGTTGAAAATGGAATTTTATGTTTATCTGAATTTCCTGGTGTTTCTAAAAATAATAACAATAATAATAATAATAATAATATTCTTACTACTACACCCAGCAGCAATAATAATAATAATAATAATAATATTAGAAATATAAATAATAATATAAGTTCTTCTATAAATAGCTCTAATAATAGTTCGAAATATTCATCAATGAAAAAAAATGAAAATTCGAACGAAGAAACGTTTAATTATGATATAGATAATTGTAGCGTTCCTAAAGAAAAAAATTTACTTCTACATAAATATGGTAAAGAAATTAGTTCATGTGTTATTCGTTTTGTTTTAGATGTAGAAACCACTGCTTGGATTATTGGGAAATCTGGTTGTCACATAAAAGAAATTAGAACTATAACTGGAGCAGGTGCAGTTATTGTAGATGCACCTGATAATATTGAAAATGTTAAAAGTTGTGATCGAATTTTAACTTTATCAGGTTCAGCTGAAAGTAAATTTAATGCATTAAAATTAATTGTTAGACAAATGGAAGAAAGAGAAAAGAATATTAATAATCCAATGCGTATGCTTGTTCCAGGTAAAGCTGCTAGCTTTTTAATAGGTAGAAAAGGATCAATTATTAAATATATAACTGAACAATCAGGTTCTCAAATTCAAGTAGCTAAAAATAAAGATAGTGAAAATGAAAAATTAGTTTTGATTAGTGGTTCTCCAGAATCAAAAATATTAGCATCTATTTTAGTTTTGCAAAAATTAGAAGAATATGAAAATCCTGCTATAGCTAGAGAAGGTCTTTTAATTCCTTTAAATGATATCTACTTTAATTCTAATACTAAATATTCTAATACTAAAAAAAATAATATTACTAGCAATAATAATAAAATGTATAACAAAAATTCTATTAATAATAATGATCGTTTTTATTCTTCTAATTCTCTCTTAAATAATAATCATAATAATTATAGTAATAATAGTAATGATAATAATTCTATTAGTTATCATTACGATAATTTACCAAATAAAAATAATAATAATAATAATAATAGTAATTCTTTAAAAAATGCTGATATGAAAGATAAAATTGAGCAAATGTTTTTACAACAAATATATAAATCCTTTCCTGTTTCTTCTTTACCTAAAATATTATCTGTTAAACAACCATATACTATCGAATTAAATATGCCTGATGTATATTTGGAAACTTTTGATTCACAAAATAAAAATGGCAAATCATTAATTGAAGAAATCATTGAAAAATCAGGTTGTAATATATCTATATGCACTGATTCTAATGATTCTTCATCTTATACTTTCAATCTTTCCATAACAGGTTCCCCATTATCAAATTCTTTGGCAATTCTTATGATTCAAGCAAAAATTTTTCAGTTTGATTGGTTTTAAAATAATGTTATTTTTCATTGTTGTACATTTATATTTTTTTTTTTTAAAAATATTTTAATTTTTTTTAATATTAATAATTTTTAATTCATGTTATATATCCATTTATTTTTTTCATTATTATAATTTATATATATATATATATATACATATATATATATATATATATGGTTCATTTACACACTAATTCTTTTACTTTTTATAATTCGATTTTTATATATACTTTTTATATCCTTAGATTATTTTTATTTATTTATTTTTTTTTTTTTTCTTTTTTTTTTTTTTTTGATTTGTAATTATATTAACAAATTTGTATATATGTATATGTTTAATTATACACCTATTATATATCTATATATATATATAATAATGTAGTTTATATAAAATGTATCTTTATTCATTATGTAGTCTACTCGTTCAGTTATTTTTTATTAAGAGAAAATTGATATCATAAGTATCAAAAAATTATACATAATTCTACTGCTGTTCTTCAATGTAAAAAAATATATAAATTCAAAAAAAAAAAAATAAATATACTTCTTTTTATCAGTAAAAGATAGCTGTTATAAATTAACACCTTTTGTATCTAATAGTTTTTAGATTATTTAAAACGAAAAAGGTAAAATAAAAAGGTTTTTAAACATTAATGTTATTAAAATTTAATATTAACAGTTATACTAATTTTAAAAAAAAAAAAAAAAAAAAAATTATTTATATCATTTATATACAAATATATTATGTATTAAAAAAATAATTTATTATATTTTAAGGTCTTGTAAAAAATTATACATAATCAAATCTCTCAATTTGACATACCTCATTGTTTTAATGAAGAAAACGTGTAATTTTAAAATATTTAATAAAAAGGAATAAATTTATATTAATTTTTTTTTTTTTTTTTTTTATTTAGTAGTACTATAACTATTTACCACATATTAAAAGTTAGATAAATTTTTTTATTTTATATTAAATAATTTCTTTGTTTTTAAAAAATCTTGACTCTAAAAATAAAAAAAAAAAAATTGTTATATAAAATAAAAAAAAAACGTATTAACAAAAATAGATATTTTATAGTACATTTTCTTTTTTTAAAAGAAAAAAAAGTTACCTGAATCATATGCATTTTTTTCTTTGCTGGACTTCTATAATCTTTTACTATTGTAATGTTGCTTTAAAAAAAAAAAAAAAAAAAGGAATATATAATACAAATATAAATATTAAATATAGATAAATTTTAAAGTTATACAAATGGTGATATTTATGTTTCTATAAGATATACAAATTAATATTCATTATTATATTTACTAGTAATCTAAATTTGGTATCCCATGATTCTCATCAAAAATTTTTAATTTATCAATTCTATTTGTGTCTGATGAATACATATCAAACCAATGCCTTAAATAAGAAATAGCATAAGAATCTCCTTGAAACTTAATAAAATAAAAAAATAAAAATAATTACAATTCTTGTACTTACGATTGTTATATATATCTATATATATAAATAGATATAATTATTTTTTTTTTTTTTTTTTATTTTTACGTGTCCCATGGCAAATCGTTTTCTGCATTTTATCCATCCTACTATAAACATTCGTTTGGCAGTTCTATACAACTCTTCACAAAATATATTCCCGTTATCTTTTAAAATCAAAATTAAAATAAAATTAATTCATGCTTAAATTTAAATTAAAAATAAAAAAAAAAAAAAAAAATTAATTATAAAATGAACCTCCAAAATATCCATTGATTTCAAATCTAAATTTTGATTTTACTTCATGAAAATTTGTAATATCATAATTTTTTTTTATTTCTTCTCTCTTAATAGTAACTTGTTTATATTTACGAAAACCTGTAACCTATAAAAACAAAAAATGAAAAGTTTATATATCTATATATGTACTAAGATTCTTATTAATACCGATACAAATTAATATATAGTATTCAATGGAATATTTAATAACAGAATCGTGTATATGTATATTTGTATAAACCATTGTTTACACTTTTATCTTTCATTTAATGATAGATATATTTTATATATATATAAAGTTGTATTATTACTTGTCTATTTAATATATCAAATTGTTTTATAAATTGCGGATGACCTTTTCTCAGTTTTGGTTCCCACTTTTCACGTTTATCAAGTAATACATTTTGTCGAAATAAAAAATGCGGTTTTTTTTGAATTGATAAATTCAATCTACTTCTTATTTTTTTTGAAACTGGTGTAGGAATCATTTAAAAAAAAATAATCATATACATAAAAAAAATAAATTAAGTATGAATCACACTATTTTTATTATAAAAAATTTAAGTCATTTTTTTTTTTTTTAATTTTAAATCAATTTTACAAAACATAAACATAAAAAGAAAATAAATATATTTAATATTTAAAGAAAATTCATTTTTTTAAATAACACAGCATTTGTGTGATAATTGACTTATTTAATTTAATTTTTTTTTTTTTTTTTTTTTTTTTTTTTTAATATATATATATATATGTATATATATATATTTTATTTGAATTAATAATAAAATGAAAGTGAAAAAAAATATGAATAAGAAAAAATATTATCTTTTTTTATGCATTAATATAATATAAAACTACATTTTTATAGTTTATTTTTTTTTGTGTTAATTTATTTTTTTTTAGTAGCATTATACCAATATAGATTTAATGGAACATTGAAATGTATATTTCTTTTTTTTTATATTTTTTTTAAAGACATTTATTTTTTTGAAAAATAATTAAAAAAAATTACTCTTAATTAAATTTAAGAAATAATATGTTTATTATTTAATATGTAGAAAAATAATATCATTATAAATAATATATATTTTTACATAAATTTTTATCATTTGTCTTAATATTTAATTTTTTATATAGTATATAAAGATGAATGATTCAATTAGTAGTCCAATTAAGGCTACATGTAGAGATATGGCCTTAAAAAGTAGTTTGCATTCATTTACATTTAGTTTAAAAGATTTTGATATAGCTGGGTTTTTAGTAATATAAAACAAAAATCATGAAGAAATACAAACATAATGAAAATTACAAATAAAAATCTTATTTGTATTTCATAATTCTTTGAAACTATTTTCTTTTTTTTTATATTTTACTAATATTTACCTTTTTATGAAATATTATTAATTTTTAATATTTATATATTTTATTTAGGGGGATGGTGCTCATGGTAGTGTTTTTTTAGCGTGTGAGAGAAGAACAAATTTTATTTGTGTATTAAAATGTATATCAAAATCTCATTTAGTCAAGTAAACTATTAATAGATAAATATCATACATAAAAAAAAAAAAAAAAAAAGTCTATATATACATAATACAATATGACATTTTTTTTTTTTTTATTATTATTTTCAAGGAGTACACAAGAAGCATTATTAAGAAAAGAAATAGAATTACAAGCTCATTTGAAACACCCACACATAGCATGGTAAAAACAAATTTATAGAAAAATGATAAGCATATATGTAATTATTTTTATTTATTTTTTTATTTTATTTTTTTTTTTTTAGTATGTATACGTGGTTTCACACAAGTAGTCACGTTTTTTTTGTCATGGAATACTGTTCCAACGGAGATTTATTTACTTATTTAAATGAACATGGTCCATTTTCAGAAAAAAAAGTTGCAGAAATGTTGTTTGAAATAATATGGGCAATAAGAACTTGTCACGATAAAAGAATTGCTCACTTAGATTTAAAACCAGAAAATGTTTTAGTAAATCATGAAGAAAAATGTAAGCTAGCTGATTTTGGATTATCTGCACACATTGGATCGAAACATAAAAAAAAAGGAATTTCTCATTACAGAGGTACTCATGATTATTGGTCTCCTGAACAGTGTGCAAGACACCAAAAAAAAAAACAGAATTTTGGAGAATTTGATCAGAAAACTGATATATGGACCTTAGGAATTTTAGCATTTGAATTAAAATTTGGTAGACCTCCTTTTGGATCAACAAATGAAGAAAGAGAAAGTATTATTATGAATAGAATACAAGATTATCATTGGAGTCAACTATTTTGTGAAAAAGTGAAGAAAGATTTAATAGATAAACTATCCCCTGAATTTAAGGATTTCTTAAATTTATGTTTAGATAAAAATCCTAAAAAAAGACCAACAGCTGAATCATTAATTCAACACCCATTTATTTTTATACATAACAAAAATAGGCCTTGTATAAAAGCTTATGCAACGCAACCAAGAGGTAGACAAGGACCCAAATTAAGTCATAAAGGATTTAATGAGCAAGAAGGGTCATTTTTAACACCTATTTGGTTTCACAACAAATGATAAAAAATTGAATAAATAAAAAATCATATAATTTTATTAATTTACAAAAAAAAAAAAAAAAAAAAATTATGAACAGTTCACATTATTTCAAGAGTATTCATATTTTCTTAACCTTTTTTTTTTTTTTTTTTTTAATTTTTTTTCTTTATATATTTTTTTTTAATATTTATTATAATTTTTTAATTTTTCAATTTTCCTCTTTTTTTTTTTTTTTTTTTGTATTCCTCTTAAATTTCATTATAAATGTATATATATACTTCTTTTAAAATCTAATATTGTATCATATGCTCACCCTCTTTTACTTAAAACATTTATATGTAGATATATATATATTTCATTTTTTAAAATATATAACCTTCATTTAAATAATAGAATATGCAAATTAGTTTATAATTTGTTTTATAGTATATATAAAAAAAAAAAAAAAAAAAAAAAAACATTTAAATAACTTATTTAGTAGTTTGGAAAAAAATAAATAAATAAAAATATATATATATTTATATATCAAATAATTTATTTATACCAAAAATAATTTAAGAAAAAAAGTATATTAAGATGAAAAATGAAGAAATATAATTTGTGTGTATAAAAATATAATATTTATTTAAAAAAAGAAATGTTCAATCTCCTTATTAAAAAACAAAATTAAATATTATAAAGCGGAGCACAGTCATATAATTTGCAATTAAATGTTAGATATTGAATTTTTAAACTCTTCATAAAGTATTTTATCATTGTTATTTAAATCTATAATGTTAAATATTTTTTTCAGTGTTTCTTCGTCAAACTCATTTTCAAATTCCTTTGCAGATTGGACAAAATTTTTAAATGATATATATCCTTTTTTATTTGCATCTAACATTTCAAATAAACTCTTTATCTTTTCTTTCGATTTAAATTCATTCATATCACAGTTTAAAGCGCTCAAAAAATCATCTAAACTTATAGTACCACCATATGAATGAAAAAAATCTAAGAGATCATCGCATATATCCTTGTTATGACTATTAATGAGAAATTTTTGTAAATTTTGAACAGATACATTATCATTTTTATTTTTTTTTAGTTTATTAAAAATATATTCTAGATTATTTATTTCATCTGAATTTAAAAACTTGTAATTACTCTCTTTTTTTTTTGTTTCATTTTCATTTGAATCCATTTTAAAAAATATTTAATAATAAAATAAAGTATGGACAAATGTAAATATTAGTATAAAATTAATAAATCAATTAAAAATCATACTTCATTAATTATGATTTACTTGCATAATTAGAGCATAAATATGCATCTTCAGAAATACCATATACATCTTCAAACTTCAATTCCTATATAATTAAAATACGATTTATATATTTTATATATAAATATTCATTAGTTCGTTAAATTTAAATTATAAAATATAATTCATATTACGCTATTAATTTTATTATTTTATTATTTATTTTATATATAAACTTATATATTATTTTTATTATTATTATTTTTTTTTTTTTTTTTTTTTTTATATATATACCTTAGATTCTAAATATTGATGTATATGAGGACGTATATTTTCATAAGTGTGTTGAAGTGAAAAATCAAGTAAACGATAAACTAGAAATTCTACTGAAAAAATTAAAGAGGGAGTTAAATTTTCTTTTTTATCTAATTTTTGAATGTAAGAAAGCAATTTTTCTAATATTTGAATATCGTCATGTTGATAAAATTTCAATGATAAAATAAGACATGTAGCTGCGTATAATTTTCTATTAAATTTATGAACATATCCTTTAATAACAAGTCTTTCAAAAAATACCCACGCACACGAAATAGTAGAAATATCAATTTCAGGAATAAAATTTATCAAATTAAAAAGATCAATTTTTAAATTCCTTAATTTTGATAATGTTAAGGATTTATGTATCCATGGATTAATTTCACTAAATAATTCATTTACTTTTTCTTTTAACTTTTTAGGCTTAACAAAAGGAATTATAGAAACATTATAACTCTGTAAATACATAACAGTGTGATGTTTTCCTTGTTTAAAACGAGGATTAAATAAGCAAAAAGCATCATAATCATATCTACTGGGCTTTAATAAATGCTCATAAGATATTCCTTTCTTTCCTTTTTTTCTTTTTTTAATCTCATTAATATTTTGATCTTTTTTTATATTTTCTTCTGTTTTTTTTGTGGTTATATTTAAATTATTATTATTTAAATTGTAAAATTTCTTTTTTTTTTTATCACTATGTATATTTCTTTCATCATCAACCTTCTTTGTTATAATGTCTTTATTTTTAATTTTTTTTTTTGTTTCTTTTAAAACATTAGCATCGTCTTTCTTAAGAGGAAGTATCCATTTATAAAGAAAATTTAAAATTTTATTTTCATTTTTTTTTTTAAGATTATATTCTTCTCCTTTATCATCAAAATTGGAATTTTTTTTTTTTAAAATAGATATAGAATTATTTACATTTGATGAATCATTACAAGTATTTTCATTATAAGGTTTGTAAGATAAACATAAACTATGTGTATTTTTATAGCATAACAAAATCCTTGATGAAAATTTTATATTTGTATAGTTATTGTTATTTTTTTTTTTCTCATTTTCTAATAAATCACTTTTAAATGTGACTTTATTACTTTCTACATTTATATAAAAATCAGCATATTCTCCATTTTTATTATTCGTACAATCATTTCTTTCATTTTTATTATCTGCGCTTGATTCACTACTGTAGTCAAAAAAATTATTTTTTGTTTCAATTGTATTTAAAAAATTATTAGCATCTTTAAAAAAATCTTCATATATAGAGAAATAATTAATCTTTTTCATTTATAAGATTTTTTCTTGTTAAAAAAAAAAAAAAAAAACTATCCTTATCCTTGCAACTTAATGTTTTTCTTTTTTAGCTATTGTAATAAAAAAAAAAAAAAAACAAAAAACGTGAAATCCCTAAAAATTCAATGTGCATAAGAAATAAAAATATTTTAAAATTTATTTCAAAAAAAAAAAAAATTAAATTATACACACACAATATTTAAATATTAAAAATATCTTTATGAATTCTTTTTAGAAAATCCAAAATTTATATAATAAAAAAATTGAAACAAAGGAATAAATTCTAAAAAATAGAGTTATAATCTAAGGAAACATATATATATATATATATATATATATATATATATATATATATATATATATATATATATATATATTTTTTTTTTGTTAAATAATGTATAATATGAAAAAATAATGAGAAAATAATAAAAAAAAATTACACAAATAAAAGATTTAACCATTCAGAACAAAAGTATTATAATAAACTTTTTTTCAATAATTTTTTACTTCTTTAATTGAATTTAGTTGGAAATCATTAAAAAAATAAAATGTTTTTAAAATAAAAAATATATATATATATATTGAAAAAAAGTTAATTTGTAGAAAAGAAAAAAAAAATTAAAAAAAAATAAAAAAAATTTAAATAATGTAAGCATAAAGGAAAATTTGTTAAAATCGTTAAGACATTAAAAAGAAAATTGATTTTTAATGTCATTTAATACATATTTTAAATCATTATTGTTAATTACTTTTTCTGAATATAATTTATGATTATGACTAAATTCTTTTTTTATTAGTTCTAATATATCATTATATTTCTCTTCGCATATATTTTTATTTGATGAAAAAGTTTCTAGATAATTATCATCAAAAAAGAGGGATATTATTCCATGAATTTTGAACGACTTAAATAAATTGAACTGATAAAAATAATCACTATTATTATATTTCTTTTTTACAATAGGTAACCCTGTTAATAATATGTTACTATCTGAATTTTTTATTTTATCAAATAAAGATTTAAAAATTTTCTTCAATAACTTTCTTTTGTCTATATTAAAATTAACATTTTTTCCATTCATTTTATGATTTTTAAAATACATTATTTTATTTTTTATTTTTTCTTTTATTATCTCTTCATACATTAAACTTGTTGTATTAATAGATTTAAAATTTTTTAAATTAAAACATACTAGAGATGATAAATAAAACTGTAAATATTCGTTTTGAGGAATAAATAGAATTATAATTTTGGGACAAAAAGGATTACTAATATTAAATGGAATGTTTTTATTTATAAAAATTCTAGTGAATTCAATATCCGAATATTTTTTTAATAAAATGTTTTTTATATCTTCAGCTTTTTTATTATATTTCCCTTTTTCATCTTCATTTTTTTTTCTTTCACATTTTTCCTCACTTTTTTTTTCTTCATTGTTTTCTCCTTCACTATTTTTTTCTGTATGCTCATTATTTACTTCATTATCTTCTGCATCAAATTCATTTTTATTTAAAACATTTGATTTTTTATTTACAATTTCTTCATTTACAATTTCTTCATTTACATATTTCTTATGATTGTTACTTTTATTTTCATTTTCAAAATGTTCTCCATTTACGTTGGAATTTCCTCTTTCCATATCCATTTGATTATTTTTAAAAGAAGGATTACATTCTTCTTGATTATAATGAAATATCATTTGATCATTTAAAATAGTACATCTTTTATTTTCAGTTATCATTTTTTCTTCTTTTGTAAAATAGATGAACTGAATAACTTTTGTGAATTCTGATAAATTAGAAAAATTTTCTGTGATATTATCATTCAAATATTCAAAATGAGGCATATTGTGTAAAATAATATTTGAAAATAGATATTTGCTTGAATTTTTTAAGATAAATTCTATATATTTTATATATATTTCATTTTGCATTTTCCACTTGTTTGTTTTTATATCTTGTATTAGTTTATTTAGAAAATTTTGAGATTTTCTTTCATTTATTGAGACAAATTCCTTCATAACATCTTCATAAAATATACAATGAAATAATTCTTTAGTTTTATTATTCACTATTTTTTTTAAAAATTTTTTTAAATTATACTTGTCTGGCATATAATAACAAATCAACTTTGGTTTAATTCTATCTTCAATTTTTTTTAAAATTTTTTTTTTCATTTCATCATGGAATTCTATTTCAGTATTTTCTTCTATATTTACTTTATCATTGCACATATTTGTATTATAATTGATAACCTTATCATTATTATTAATATTATGACTGTTATTTATTACAGCAACTTCACTTTTAGAACTGTTTTTTATTTCACATTTTTCTTTCTCACAACTAGTAAGTACATTGTCATTACCTAAACCTTTTAAATCTTTACTAAGTTTAAAATTATTTTCTTTTTTTTCATCTTCTTCAATTATTAACAAATTTCCTTTGTTATAAAGAAAGAAAAATATAGAAGAAAAAGGATATTCTTTAACTTTTGAAATTTCTAAATTTTTTAAAAAATAAGCATTCTCAATAACTAGTATACATAGTTTTATATCAAAAAAAAAATTTAATTTTTCATAATCTTCGTACTCTAAATCACTAGGGAAACTAGAAAAAACGAAATAGGTTGCATTGATTTTAGAACAAAAATTTTTCATTTTACTTATTATATCATTTGTTCTTTGTTTATTATTACATTTATCTTGGTTATCATTATTTTTATAATTATTTTCATAAAATACATCATCAATGAATTCTCCTATTTTATTTTCTTTATTGTTTTGCATATCAAGTTCGTCAATAAAATTTAAGTCACAAAAGACAACATTAGGAAACTGAAATTGAAGATATAATCCAATAAAATCTACATTTTTCATAGTTAAATTACAAATAATTATAATTTTCGTTTTTACTACCCTCAATATATCAAAAAAATAATCCACTGATTTATCAATTTGTTCATTTTTATTTTTTATATTAAATGTAAACAATTGTTTCTCTTTTATTTTTGGATTTTTAATAAAAAATTCATGTATTTTATTTTTGAGACTATCATTTTTTTTTTTCTTACAAACTATTTCAAATAGCTGTTTTTGTTTGTCTTTTATGTCGATTACATTTTTATCAATTTTGCATTTAAAATAAAAAAGTTTTACATTAGTATTAAATCTTTTTTCTAATATATTTATATGCTCCATACTAAAAAGAAAATTGCATATAATAAATTTTTTATAATCTTTACTTATTAACATATTAAATTTTTCAACAAAAAAAGAAAAGAATAAATCTGAATTTTCATTCATATTTCTATTATTTAAATATTTTTTTTTTTCTTCTTCTTTAATTAACTTCAGATGGTCTATATAATAATAATTGTAGCTAGATGAAAGAAAATTAATTATATTTTTTATATGATTTACATTTATTCCATAAAAAATTAAAAGCTCATTTTGAAAGTTTTTTATAAATTCTATAAAGTTATATCTATAAATCAGAAGCTTTCCTTTTTTTAAAAAATTTCTTATGTAATTATTATTCTTGTCATTTTTATTTAGAAAATTTAAAAAAGAATTATATTTTTCATTTACTACATTGCTATCTTCTTTTTTTCCACTTTTTCCTTCTTCTCTATAAATTATTAAACAAAATGAACAAGGTATTATATTTTCATCTGTTAAATATGTAGGATCTATAATTTTCATAAAATCAGTTAATATATAATTATTAAATATCTTATTTCTTTCTAAATTTTCTTTTAATATTCTTTTTATTAAATCTAATGTTAAATGCTTATATTTTTTTTTTGTATATTCTATTTTTTTTCCTAGTAGAGAATTTTTTTTTTCTTCTTTTTTACATAATTCATTAAAACTTAAATTAATGGAATTTAATTTTTCAAAATGTTTTATAATTTTAAATTTTATTTTTTCATTATCTTCTTTTGATACAAGATCTTCATACACATCAGGTATAATAATAACTTTTTTATATTTTTGTTGCAATTTAATATCGTCAGTTAATTTTAATGAATTATCAAAATTATTTATTTCACTAACATTTTTATTTTCTATTTCTTTTATATTTGGAGAGTTTTTTTCTTTTTTTTTTAATAAATTAAAAGTTTCGTCTTTCTTATTTATTTCGTTTTTTTTTTTAGTAATTTCTTTAATTTCTCGCTCTTTTTGTTCAAACCATTTACTTAACCATAGTATAACTGAATTTTCATCGGGTTTCAATTTACAAATTTTAGTAAAACATTCCATTAGCACATTAGTTAATTTTATATTTTCTTCTGGCTTGCAAAAATTAGTAACACTTTTGCAGAATATAAAATTTTTTATGTTATCAATTGTAATAATGTCATTATATTTTTCAAAATTAAAATAAATTTTTATTAACTCATTTATTTTTTTTTTATCCTTGATAAATATAATATCATCATCATTTTTACAAAATACACTTTTAATGCTATTTGGTCTTTTCATTTTTGATTCTTTAACATTATTTAGTCCAATTAAGTATTCTAAACAAGTAATACAGTTAGTTCTAGAGATAACAATAATTATAAATTCTTTATCATTTAAATCTTCTATGTTTTTTTTTTTTTCTACAGGTAAAATTTTTAAAATATTTTCACTCATTAAAATTATTTTCTCTTCTAATATACGAAATCCATAATAATTTAAATATTCTCTTAAACTAAATAAATATTCTGAATTTAATATTTTTTTTTTAATTATTAAAATTCCTTTTTCACATTTAAAGTCTTCATCATTAAAGAACAATTCTATTTCTTTATCTATGTTATTATCATTAGGGATATGCTTATTAAAAAAAAAAAAAAAAAAATTTACATATATATATATGTATATATGTAAATATACCATTTTTTTTTTTTTTTTCATACCACAGCATTTCTCATTTTACTTGTTCCATATTTTTTTTTTAAGCAATTTTCTGGTATGTCATCATAACTGCTAATAGATAAAGAAGGGCCGCATAAAATTTTGGATCGTTTTATACAATTTCTACCTTCAATTACTAAGCAGACTATAAATATATAAATATATATTTATTTATTTGTATATTATTTTGTCTTTTAGTATTTTTTTTTTTTTTTTTTTTTTTTTTTTTTTTTTTTTTTTTTTTTTTTTTTTTGCATTTTGAACCTATTCCTTTGGTAGAAGTCATAAAATTGATTAAGCTCTTATAGTAAGGCTAGTTACATGAAAAAAAAAAAAAAAAAATAAAAATAAATAAATAGATAAATAAGATAATGTTTTACTCTTATAATATTGATTCATTTAGTTTTAATAAAAAAACCTTCCTATATAAATCTTCATATAATTTATTTGCACGATCATAAGATAATATTCCTCTTCTTATAGCAACTATTAATAAATCAAAATTCAATATATCATTTATTATATTATTTAAATGATTTAGTTCTATAACATCAGGTTTTAATATTATTAAAGTTCTTTCTAAGTTATTATTTTCATGAGGCCGAAAAAAAAAATTTAGATCTCGGATAAAAAACCAGTAATTTTTGCTAAAATAAAAAGGAACATTTTTGCAATTTAAATTGCATTGGTATTCCAAGCTACAAGAAATTATATAAAAAATATATATAGAAATAAAAAAAAATATTAAAGTAAAATTTATATATTTATCAAAAATATTAACAAAATAATCTATTAAATTTTCTTTAAAATTTTATTCTTATATAAAAATAAATATTAACATGCAAAGTTCTTTTAAGTGTTGCTACTAATATTTGAATTTTCTCATTTCATCAAATAGAACAATATTTTCATGCATAAGAATACATATTTATATTTAACCATTCAAAATATTTTTCATCTTTTATTAAGATAGAATTTCTTTTAACTAAAGAACTCAATTTCGTATATGTATCTCCTTCTATGTGCTCTATTAAAGAAATAACTGATAATCCACTTTCTATATATTCATAAAATTCATTAATATTTTTATACTGTTCAGGTGTGCAATTAAAAATTTCCTTTATTTCATTCTTTAAAGACAATTAAAAAAAATATAAAAAATCAAAGTTAAATTTTCCCAAATAGTATTAAAATTATTTTAAGTTATACAATATATTTAATATTATTTTAAGTTTTTTTTAATTATTTTATGTATCTCTTTTTTAATAATCATAATTTTTCGTATATTTTTCTAAATTTTTTTCAAGTGTTTATATGTTTCATGTAATTTATTAATATTTTAATTTCCTCATATATATATATATATATATATTTTTCCTTATGTTTACTTTTACTAAATGCACTTTTTTTTTTCTTAAAATAATAAAATCCTTTTTCTCTAATTTTTCTAGAACTTCTTCGTCCTATGTTTACATACATATATTATCAGGTTATAGTACAAATGATAATTTATTATATATTTAAAATTTTTAGTATTTTTTTTTTTCAATAAAATATATTCATTGTATGATTTTTTTCTTATTTTTTACTTTAAAATTGTTGGTAACATCTGGAAATATAATAAATACACATCTTTCGTCCTTCATTTTAATTTAATTAAAATTGTCTTAATATTTAGATGTAAAAAAAAAATAATATGATTTTTATGCTTATATTTTTCTTGAATTAATTTAGTATAATATTTTTGATATATATATTTATAAGAAATAAATTCTAATAACATTTATCTTTTTTTTTCTTATTCTATGGTATTTATATTAAAAAAAAAAAAAAAAAAAAAAAAAAAAAAAAAAAAAAAAAAGAGAAAAAATTTAGACATTATTCTAGCTTTATTTATATACAAATAATTTTACAAAATTATTAAAGTTATATATTATATTTCATTTAGGAAATATATTGTAATTTTTTTTAGATGCAAATACTTTATTAAAATATATATTTTTTATTGAATTCTTATTTTAACTTCTTTAAAAAAACTATATACTTAAAAATTAAAAAAGACAATTTCTGTTTTCTCTATAATTTTTTTTTTTTTTTTAATAATTTTTACCTAAATACCATTATTTTTCATAGTGAATAAAATACATATATTTTTACTATTTAATAAAAAATAAATTATTTTTTTTTCTTTAATACTTTCAGAAGAAATTGTAAAATTATAAATATATACAAGTTATATTTCATTGTAATAAGCTCATTAAGTAAATTATATATTTTTGATTAAAACGAATTTTATATTTAATGAAAGCAAAAAGTTAACTATCTTCGTTATTTATATGTTAATGATAAATAATAGTATACCTCGACTGTTCTAATAACAAATATTCATTGTTTTTTCATGAATTAAATTTTAAATGAAATAATAGGATTTTTCAAAAATATATAATAAAATCATGAAATATAGTCAAACCTCCAATAGATGTGCTTTTATATTCTATATAGAAAATATAGAAATATATGATATTTTATTTTTATTGGTATAATTTTTTTAAATGAATAATTATGCTATTGATTTAAATATGAAAAGCTAAAATTAAAAAATCTTCTAGTATTTTAGTAAGCCTGAATTAAATATATTTTTACCGAAAATTTATCTTTTATGAGGAAATATTTTGTTCATATGTTATAAAAAAAATATATAAGTAATTTTAAGTTACTTTTTAAGCACTATATAATATATATATTTAATTGTAAACATATGAAATTATTTTATTTGTCTTAACCACATTTCATACGGTAAACAAAGAGAAACTAATTCAAAAATAAAAATTTCATAATATCTAAAGAATTTAATTATATATTTACAGAGATATCATAACATATTTGCTTAATATATAGAATAAAAAAAAGCAAAAATAATGATAAGAATATTCCTTTTTTGTTATTAACTTATATATGTATTAATAATATACATTTTTTTTTTTTGTAGATAATTAAGAACAAGCTTGTAATTTGATTGTTATTGTACAAGTTTTTTACACCTTTAAAAATTTAAATTTTACTTTATTTAATATATTTTTTTCTTTTTTGTACCCATTTATGTAATTTGTAAGATGCTTATATTGATTTTAGATTATTTACTTCTATATAGTTTTAAATTTTCTGTTCATAAAATATTTTTTTTTTGCACACATAAAACGTATAAGTTTCCAGTATTAATAAATGCACACCATATGCACATATTATAAATATATTATAAAAAAGTATATATTCATATAATATCATAGTTAAGATCTTGAGTAATATAACAAAATATGTTAAAATTAAAGAAACCAATATTATCAAAATTTTCATAATTTCACATATATATATGTATTTTACCTTAAAATAATATTATAAAATATTAAGCCTTAAAGCTACTATGTATTATCTATTTACAGATATACATATTTTGCATCTATTATAATAATTTTTTTTCACTTGATTTTATAAACAACTTTTAAAAATATTGTTTTTCGTATTTACATACATTGTCTAATATATGTTTTTTAATTTTTAAATGAAAAAGCAAGCAAAAAAGAATCAAAATTATGAATTATTCATATAATTTAATTAAAAAAAAAAAAAAAAAAAAAAAAAAAAAAAAAACCTTAATTTGATGTGTTTTTAGTGTGCATTCTTTATTTTTTTTCTTTATTACCTACTAATATATTTAGTCAAATTTTGTCCAATAATAACATCTTTTCATTTAGAAATATTAAATATATATACCAATTGTTATTTTCTTTGATAAATAAATAAAACTTTTTAAACCTTATTGTCTTAAATGTATTAATAATTATATTTATATTTATATATTATTACAACTTATAAGTTTTTTTTTTTTTTTTTTGAAATATCAAACGCTTTTTTTTTTTGTTTTTTAAACTTGTAATTATTTGTTACAAAAATGAATTACTCTTCCACTTTATCATTGAATGATAACATTCAGTATAAAAAGCCTTTGAAATATAGAAATAGAGCACGAAGTTTAATGCAAAAAAATAATAAAAGTATTTCATCATATAATAATAAAAGTATACATAATAATGGAACAAGCGTTATGCATAAAATAAAAAGAATGTTTGCAAGAAAGTCTAATAATTCCGTAGAAAATGTTCCTAATACAAAACTTAAAACAAGTGAAAACGAACATGATCAGATAAAAGATTATAGAAATATAAATGAATTCCCTCTTAATGTTAATCAAAATATAGAATGGCAGCCAGTTTATCATGAAACATGTAAAATAAAATTACCGGTAGAAGATAGTAGTACAAAGGTATCTTTACCACAAAATCTTGTTGATGATTGGGTGCATGATCAAAAAAATATATCTAACGAACTAAATAAATCTAGGATTAAAAATAAAGAAGATGATGAAAAAACAAATTCCCAAGATAATTGTTTTTATAGTAAAAATATGGCACAAAATTCCTGTACAAGTAACAATGAGGAGCCTTATTCAAAATTTAAATATTACTACAATTATTATTTGGTAGATGAATATTTAGAGTCTTTGATTGAATCTCAAAATAAGAAACTAGATGCAACTGGATTGGATGAAGAGGGACAACTATATGATAACGTTAGTTTAAATGTAAAGCCCATAATAATGTCAAAACAAAGATTAGAAAACGGAGTTCCATATGATCCATCAAAAATAATGAATTAATTTCATTTTTGATACTTCAAAGAAAATTAAAATAATTATGAATTAAAGCAAAAGCATAAGTTACCATTATGCGAATAGAAAAAAAAAAAAAAAAAAAAAAACGTAAAGATAAAAAATGTAACGTATAATTTTATTTTTTTTTTTTCATGTGTATAATAGAAAAAATTATATTTATAATTAAATGAATAAGACAATTTGAAAAATTAATATTTTCATTTATAATTTAATATTTTATATAAATTATTTACGTTAGAACGTAATATTTTAATTTTTTTTCTTGTATGCTTCTCTATTTTTTTTTTTTTTAACTTTAATGCTTTATATACAAGTTTTTTTTTTTTTTTTTTTTTTTTTTTTTTTTTTAATTCCTTTTTGAAAAAGTTGATAATAAAATATATGTCAATTTTTTTTTTTTAAATAGTTGTTTACATAAAGAGAAAATATTTATAAACTTATTCTTTTTAAATATTCTAGGTGACACTTTTTATATATAAAATTTATTTCAATATTAAGTGTAAATAATGCATACTATATTAATATATACAATGTTTCATTTTATTTCATGTATTAATTTATTTTGTTTTATTATCCTTTTTAACTTATTAATAATAATATACTTAATTTTTACGTAAGTTTTAATTAAATTTTAATATTCATATTTAAAAGTTTATGAAGTCGTTAAAGGTTAATAAAATAAATGTCTACCTACTTATGTATGAAAAAACTATTCATTCTCTAATCAAAAAATTAAATGGAAGTGCATTTTGTGTTATACATGAATCAATTAAATAAAACAAAAAATTAAAGAAATAATATATTAGAAACAATAAACAAATTGAACTTTTTAATGGATGCATAAAACTTTATATACATCAACCATATTATAAAAAAACAAAAAAATAAAACTTTTTTTAGAATAATATAAGAAAAAATGAATATTTTATAAGATTTTAAATGTTACATTGTCTAAAGTTTAATATTAAACAAAGTATATATAAATTTATATATGTATTGAATAAAAAAATGAATAAAGATGTCAATAGTTTAATTATACATTATGTTTGTGTTTTTTCAATCCTAGAATATCCTTGTTCATCTTTTTTAATTTTATAATAGCAATTGGTCAATCCATATTGTGATAAAACATCAACAAAATAAGTGTCATGTGTTATAAGAATAAGCTGGAATGTAGAATTATTTTTTCTAAGATCTACTATATTTGCAATTAAACTAGCTAAATTTCTTGAATTATACTTATCTAAATTTGTTGTTGGCTCATCTAGGGCTAATATTCCACATTTAATGGAAAACGATTCAGCTAATGCCAATCGAATTATGATAGAAGATAAAACTTTCTGACCTGATGAACATCTCCCTTTCATATCAAGTTCACAATTATCTTTTACCATAACAACTCGATAGTTATATGATCTTCTTTGATTAATTTTTTCATTACATTCTGTTTGAACATCTGATTTTATATAAATATAATCAATATCTGTACTAGTATATACTCTCCTCCATAAATTTCTTATAGATATATTAATTTCTTGCATTTTTAAAGAATGAAATTTAATTATCGCTTGATCAAAGGAAAAATAAAAATTGCATATGTCTTTTATTACATTTTTATACACATGTATTTCCACAATTTTTTTTTTATATTCTTTTTCTATATTAATAAATAACTTGGATTTTATATCGTTTTTTAATTTGTCGATATATTCTTTCCTTAATCCTATTTTTCCTTTTAATTCTGCTTCTTTTATTTTTAAACTGTTAATTGTTTTTGTGTAAGCTTCTATTTTTTCTTTTAAATTTTCTTTCTTTACGTTTATTAATTCGTTCAATTTATTTTTATAATTTGAGAAATCAAATGATTCATTTAAAAAATTATATATATCACAACAACTTTCATAAATATGTTCTAATTGTTTTATGATAGAATTTATTTCATTTAATCCTTCTTCCTTTTTGTCTTCTAAAAAAAATGAATTTTTTAATTCAACTATGGAATGAATAAAATTTTTGTGATGATCTAAAAATCGTTCATGACTTTTTTTTAAATTTGTATTCATAACAATTGAGTGATACATTTTTTCAATATTTATTTTTTCCTTTTCTAAACATAATATCTGCTCTTTCTTTTGGTTAATTTTTTTAGCAATTTCATTTACTTCATTCTTGATAGCTTCATTGTTATATATTTTTTCTTTAATTTCATTTAGATTTTTTTCTTTCTCTTTCTTTTTTATATTTATCCTTTCTATTTCATCAATAAATTCATCCATTATGTTCATTTTAAGATAATAATTCTTATTTTCATGATAAACATTATTTCTATTATTTATTATACGTTTTCTAATACACTTTTCTCGCATCTCGCATTTCTTAAGTAATTTAGAATTTTGTAATAAACAATTTTCTACACGCCTCTTTTTTTTTAAATAATATAAAATATATTTTTCCATTTTCTTTATCAAATTTCTAATATTCTTATCTATATTTATGACTCTTTCTAATTTTTTCGCTTTTTCTTCTATAAATTCATTTCTATCATTTATAAATGATTTCATTTTGTTTATCATATTTATTTGTTCTTTTCTCTTAAATTCTTCTAAATTTATATATAACAAACACGTATCATATATTTTTTTAAAAATTTTATTAATTTTTATTATTACTTTCACATTATGAGCGAAATTAAAATTTTTAAATATATATTCTTTATCTAATTTTTCTTCATAAATGTTTATTGATGCATTGTCATGTAATTTATATAATTTTTCATGTATTAAAGTGAGAAAAAAATTATATGAATTTATTATTTCTTCTTTATTTTCATCATTTAAATTATGATGTAATAATTCATTGAGATGTTTTTTGGTTTCTTCATTAGTGTAAGTAGCTTCTTTTTTAATACATTTTCTATACTTGTTGCACTTTATTTTCTCTTTTATATTATTCTCATATTTTTCATATAACTCTTCTTTTAATTCTTTATTTATACCATCTCCTATTTTCTTTTCTATGATATTTATTTCTTTATGTTCATCTTCACTTACTTTACATTTTTCTCTATTTATTTTTTCCTTCAAAACATATTTAGAAAAAATTTCATTATCACTTTCACATTTATTTTTAAAGTTATCTATTTTTAATTCACTGTTGGTTAAATCTCCTCCATATGAAACATAATTATCTTTAATAAACATATCAGTCATCTCAAAAATAAACGCTAATACTTTTTTATGGTTATATTTTTTAAAATTATCAAGAAACTCTTTTAATTCCTTTAAATATATTTCTTCCATATTAATTTGTTCTAAAGATTCAAGTAAAATATTTATCACTTCTTCATATGTATTATTGTTTTCTAATTCTTGTAATGCTTTGCTTTTGTTTTTCATTTCTAAATAGTGTAAAATAATATGCTCTCTTTCACAAATAATATCTTTTTCTTTATTTATTAAATCAGTGCAATTATTATGAAAGTGTTTCATTAATTTATATTTTTCATTGATTTTATTTATTTTTATGGAATATTTATTTATATTATTTTGTATGTCAGCCAATTTTTTCTTTTTAGAATTTACTTCTTCATTTATAGATATCGTTTTAATATCAATAGGATTTATATAATGTTGATGATACTTTAGTATGGAAAACAATTCTTTTTTCTTATATTTTAAATTGTTAAAAATGGTATTTTTTTCTTCTATCTGTTGATGTATATCCTTTTTGTTGATTGTAATATTTAATTTAACTTTATTTAATTGAAATTCACTGATATCACTTTTACATAAATCACAAAAATGATTTCTTTCAGAATTATCTAAAAAATTATTTAATGATTCTTCTTTCTTCTGTAAGTTGTATATATCAAGTTTTATTTTTTTCATATCTTTTTTAAGAGTACAAAAAAATAACACAAAATCATTCAGATTTTTAAAATTATTTTTTTGTAACATTAAATTAAATTCAGATAAAATGTTAGAATAATTTTCTATTTTATTTTTAATATCATCCATTTCTTTATAAATATATATAATTTTTTCCTTTAATAGGTGTATTTGATTTTCTATATTTTCTATTTTTCTCTCATATTTATCCAAAAACTTACTTATTATAATTCTCACAATGTCCAAATTATTTTTACTTAAAAAGGAAAAATCAAATATAATTTTTCTTTTCTTCAATTGGCATTTTACTTCAATTGATAAATTTTCTCTTTTTTTTTTTGTTTTTATATCCTCTTCTTTTTTATCTTCATTTTTCAAATTTTTTTCTAAATAAACAGAATTTTTCAGTTCTGTTCTTTTTATTAATTTATTAGAATCAGTAGGTTTCAATTCACAACCATTTTTTTTTTTTTTATTGTCATTAATATTCGTTAATATATCATATTGTTGTGTTTCATTTTCTTTTACATTAAGAATATTTTTTTCTTCCTGTTTTTCTGATGTTATAGATAGTGAATCATTATAAAACAAAAAATTTTCTAAAGACTCGAATAAATTTTTATCTTCTTTTATTAAGTTATAAATTTTATAGTTGTCAGTTGTTTGACGAAAAAAAACAATTTGTTCTTTCATGAAATCATGTATTTTATTATGAATAATTTGAATGTTTAAATAAGATTCATAAAACAAGTTGCAATTAGTTATAATATGAAAAACATTATTTAGTGTTTTCTTTATTTTTGAAATATGAATTAATTGATTATTATATTTTATCAATTGATCCTCATAATAGTTTGTATCTTTTTTTAAACTATAATTATCAATTTCCTCTATGTTAATAGTGTCATAAAAAGACTTCAATTGATTCAGTTTTTCTAATTTTTTTACATTATCTATGTATATTTCTTCTTCTTTTTTTAGGCTATTTAATTTTTCTTTGTATTTTTCTAACTTTTCTATTTTTTTGTCTATTTTTAAGATTCTCTTTTTATAAATTTTATTTTTTTTTAATATGATGATCTTTTTTAGTAAATTCCTATGGATATGGATAAAATTGCGTTTTAAAAAGTATCTAATTATTTTTAATTTTTTTGTATGTTTTTTTTTCATATTTTTAATATCTAATAAAATAGTTTTATCTAATGAATAACTATTACTTAACATTTTATTCATGGAATCATTTTTTATTCTGAATTTAAAATTATAATTTTTTTCTGATAAAATATTATCCCATTTTAAATATTTTTTGGTAATTACTTCATTATTTTCTATTATACAATTTAAATGAAAATATTCTTTTAACAGAAATATGTTTACATTCTTTTCATTTATATCATTTAAAAAGTTATGTTCAAAATTAAAAAGGTTTTTTAAATTATCTATTATTCTTTTTTCCTTATTATTTAAAATATTAATGTTTTGATTAATTGTATCACTTTCCTTTACTTTTGATTCATCATATAATTTTAAACATTTTTCATTTTCATTATCTAGATGTACAATTTCCTCTTTAGCTTTTTTAATTAAATCTTGACATTTAGATAAATCATTCCTAAAGAGTTGCTGAAATTTTATTAACTCTTCTGAAGTTTCTTCATATATTTCTTTTATATTTTGATATTGTTCTAAATCTAATTTAAATTTATCATATAAAATAAAATATGTATTTAAACTAGATATTATTTTATACAAAATATTACTATTTTTATTTAAATTATCTAATATAATGGAATTTTCTTTTATTTCTTCCTGATCTAACTGAATACAAATTTCCGCATTTTCAATTTCTTTTTCATTTTTTTCAATTTCTAAATTAATATTTTTTTTTTTCTCGTAACAATCTTTTATTGCTAGTAATTCATATTCTTTCTTTTTTAAAACTTCATTAATATGTTTTTTACATTTTATCAGTTCATCTAGAACTTTAGAAAAATGATCATCACCAAATAATTCATCAAATTTCTTTTTTATTTTTGTTGATTCACTAAATGGCCATAAGCTTTCATCATGATGACATAATATAACATTTTCTAAAAGGGCTTTAGAAACACCCATTAATTTTGGTATGTGATTATTTATATCAACACACTTATTAGTAATAATAATATCATCTCCTTTATCTTTTTTAATAATTATAGAATTATCTAAAGCTCTAAATGTGTGTTTAACTTTTTTATTTTTATCTTTAGAATAAAATAAACTAAATGACCTTGATATTCCTATTTGTTTATTATTATAATTCTTAATCATTAAGTCAATTTTACCTTTTATATTCATTTTATTAGATACTAAAGGATCGTGAAGAAATGATTTTCCTTTTTCTGCATTTGGAGGAAAGTCTCCTGTACAACTTACTTTCAAACATTCAATAATAGTCGATTTACCACTGCCATTATTTCCATATATTATTGTAATAGGAGATGAAAATTTTATTTTTTCAACTCTATCATCACAATAACTTCTAATTCCTTGTATCCCTATTTTTTCAAATGTTGTCATCACTTAATATTCAAATAAAAAAATAAATAAATAATTTATTTAAAAATATATAATGATAGTGTTAAAAAAATTAGAATCAAATATTTTTAATATATATGTCTCATATATTAAAATAATTGAAAAAAATTTATTTTAATTATTCTTTTCAATTTTTAATTATATTCAGGTTTAAAATAAAAAAAAAAAAAAAATATGTAATTAACACATAAATATATATTTTAAGAATATTTATACAAAATAATTCTTTAAAAAAATGATTATAATTACGTATATATATGATCTTATTTTTAAAGAAGTATCAAAGTATATTATTAAAAATTTTAACACAAATTCTAAAAAAAAATAATTAAATGAATCCTGAAACTCCATATTTAAAAATATAACAAAATAAGAACTTAAATATTAAATTTCCGTTGTGTATTGATGCGCTTTAAAAATGAAAATTTTAGTAAGTTTTATTTTGAAAAAGTAACTTTTTTCATTTTTTTTCTTACATATTGAGAAAATAGTATTATTTAATTTTTAATTTATCACATATAAAAGTTACTCTATTTGCAAAAAAAATTAAGAATTTTGAAGTTTTAAAAAAATAAGCTATTTAATTTAAAAATGAACTATGAAAAGTTAAAAATCTTTGAATTCCCCATATTTTTCACCATATATTTTTCAAAATGATTACATATATTAAAAAAAAGATAAAAATATAAAGAATTACATTACAGAAATAATATGTAAATGTGTATTTAAAAAAGTGTTATTTTAATTAATTATATATTAATTTATCATACATAAAGGGATTTATATATAATAAAAACTTATTTGTTAATATCAATAATTTTTTTATGCTTTTTTATGAAAATTAATAAAAAGATAATTTAAGGAATATAAAAATATTAAAAAAGAAAAAAAAACAAACTTCTTGGTTTTAAAAATAAATTTTTTTTTTTTTTTTATATTAGTATGTTGCACATTTATTTTACTAAAGCATTTCTGAATTCTTTCTTTGTATTTTCAACATGTAGTTTAAATTGTCTTATCTTTTTATTTGTTTTTATAAACTTAATATTCTATTAATTTTAAAAATATATTCTATGATAAATATATTCTATGATAAATATATTCTATGATTAATATATTCTATAATTATATTTTTTCTCATTTATGGTTAATAAATACTTCCTACTATATTATCTCATAGTATTTTTTATAACTTTTTATTTTTTAGATAGTTAATAAGTATATGATAAATTTATATTGACAAAAATAGATACATCTTATATGATTAATTAATATAGATAAATGTTATTAAATTAACAAAAAAATATACACTTTGTGATTTATTAAAATAAATCAAGTTTAATTAGCAAAAATTCTTAAATATTTTTAACTTTTTTTTTTTTTACCACTCTTTCTATTTCTTAAAATAAAATGCATCAATTTTTTATTATGTCCTTTAGAAATTGAAATATTTTATAGAATTTCAGCATTTCAGTAGATCTATGCTTTTTAAAAAAAATTATACGGTTTTTTTGAAATTCTTTATTTCTATTATTTTTTTTTTTTTTTTATGTAAATAAATCTGCATTTAAATTCTTTCTAAGAATTAAAGAAATTCTTTTTTTTTTTT